ATCTATTTTATTGGGTTTTCCCCCCCACAAAACCAGTTCCTAGTTTTGTTTATATACTAGTTCAATTGTTTTTCTATTTCAATTTTATTAATTTCTCCTTTGATTTTCAGGATTTCCATATTTGGTGGTTAATTGGGGATTACATTTTTTTTCTAGCTTTTTTAGTTGCATGCTCTATTCATTGACCTACTCTTTCTCTCTTTTATTGATGTATGCCTAAGAAATACGTTGGCTGCAACCCACAAATTTTGGAATGCTGTCTCATTGTCATCATTCTTTTTAGTGAAATTATTGCCTGTTTCTATGATTTGTTCTTTGACCCACTCATTTTTTAGAATTAGATTTAGTTTCAGTTAGTTTTTAATCTATACTTCCATGGCCCCTTAAGAAATATAATTTTTATTGCATTATGATCTGAAAAGAGTGTATTCAATGTTTCTGCTTTTCTGCATTTGGTTGTGAGGTTTTTATGCCCTAATATATGGTCAATTTTTGTGTAGGTGCCATGTACCACTGAGAAAAAGGAATACTCTTTTCTATTACCATTCTGTTTTCTCCAAAGGTCTATCATACCTAGGTTTTCTAACATTCTATTAATTTCCTTGACTTCTTTCTTACTTCTTTGATGGTTAAATTTATCTAGCCTGGAGAGGGGCGAAAGCTGATGTTCCCCACTAGTACAGTTTTCCTATTTCCTATTGTAATTTACTTAACTTTTCCTTTACGAATTTGGATGCTTATACCATTTGGTCCAATGGGGTCGACAAAGAGTGAGACACGACTGAAATGACTGAACAACAACGCCACTTGGTACATATATGTTTAATATTGATAGGACTTCACTGTCTATAGGTTTCTTTTAACAAGATGCAATTTCCCTTTTTTTGCCTCTTAACTAGGTCTGTTTTTGCTTTTGCTTTGTCTGAGATTTTGATCGCTACTCCTGCCTTTTTTTACTTCAGCTGAAGCATAATAGATTCTGTTCCAGCTTGTTATTTTAACTGTGTGTGTCTCTCTATTTCAAGTGCGTTTCTAGTTTCTAATCCATCATGTTATCAGCTTTCATTTTATGGGTGAGTTCATCCCATTTGTAACCAGTTATGATTATTAACTGCATTTCCTTTCATTCTATTTCCTTTTATCCTGTCCCTACTTTAAAGTCTGTTTTGCTTCTGACCACTGCCTTCTTTTATCTGCCCTCCATTTTATCAAACCTCATTTCTCTTATTCCTTTCTCCTCCTACCCCTGTTAAATAAGATATATTTCTATTACCAATTGAGTATTCATATGTTTTTGAGTTAATTTAGATGTGAGGCAAGCATTGCCTGCCCTGTCCCCACCATTGTCCTGTCCACTGTAGTAGCTCTTTCTTGTGAGCCTCTTTCATTTGAGGTAATTTTCCCTATTCTTCTTCACCTTTCCCCGTCTCCCAGGGCATCCCTCTTTCTTGCCTATCCATTTTTTTATGTCACTCCAACATAATCAACTGACTCCTGTACCCTTTTCCTTCCTAGAATCCTTCTAACTACCCTAGTAAGGATAAAAAGTTCTTAGAAGATACATAGAAAGGTAAACAGTTTAACCTTATTGATTGCCTTATGATTTCTCTCTCATGCTTACCTTTTTATGTTTTTCTTGAGTCTTGTATTTGAAAGTCAAATTTTCTATTCAGCTTTGGCCTTTTCATCAGGAATGCTCTAAAGTCCTCTATGTCATTAAATATCTATTTTTTCCTCCCTTGAAAGATTATACTCAATTTTGCTGGGTAAGTTATTCTTGGTTGTAATCCCAGCTCTTTTGCCTTCAGGACCATCAAATTCCAAGCACTCTGCTCCTTTAATAAGTTAGCTCCTAAATCTTGTGTTATCCTGACTACGGCTCTATGGTATTTGAATAGTTTCTTTCTGGCTGATTGAAGTATTTTCTCTTTGACCTAGGAGTTCTAAAATTTGGCTACAGTATTTCTGGAAGTTTTCATTTTAGGATCTATTTCAGTTGGTGATTGGTAGATTCTTTCAATTTCTCTTTTACTCTCCGATTCTAGTATATTGCAGCAGTTTTTCTTGATGATATCTTGAAATATGATGTCTAGGCTTTTTACTTGTTCATGGCTTTCAAGTAATCCAATAATTTTTAAATTTTGTCGTTCAGTTACATATGACTCTTCATGACCTCATTTGAGGTTTTCTTGATGAAGATAATGGAGTGGTTTGCCATTTCCTTCTCCAGCTCATTTTACAGATCAAGAAACTGAGACCAACAAGGTTAAATGACTTGCTCAAGGTTATGCCATGAGTTGAGGCCAGATCTGAACTCAGATGCCAGGCCCAACACTCTATCCACTGTCCCACCTTGCTGGTTCTAATGCTTAAATAATCTTTCCTCATTCTATTTTCCAGATCAGTTGTTTTTCCAATGATATTTCATATTTTCTCCTATTTCTCACTCTTTTTACTTTATTTTATTATTTCTTGATATCATATGGAGTCACTGGTTTCTACTTGCCCAGTTCTAATGTTTAAGGAGTTATTTTCATCAGTTCATTTTTGTACTTCTTTTTCCATCTGGCCAATTCTATTCTTTAAGTTGTTATTTTCTTCAGTTATTTTTTTTTGTGCCTCTCTTACTAAGCTGTTGTCTTTCCATTTAGAAAATAATTTTATAGCTCTTCCAGGAATTCTTGTTGGACTTGTGTCCAATTCACATTTTTTCTTTGAGGCTTTGCTTATAGCCATTTTGACTTCACTGTCTTTTTCTGATTTTGTGTCTTAATTTTTCCTATAACCATAGTCATTTTTTTTATGGTCAGGTTCTTTTTTTGTTGTTTGCTCATTTTTCCATCCTATATCTTGATTTGGAACTTTACGTTAATGTTGGGCTTTGTTCCTGGTGTGGTGGGGGGCAAGGCTCTGTCTCAAGCTTCAGGCTTTTTTTGCACTGCTGTTTTCAGAGCTAGTTCTGAGGGTTTGGAAATTTTCTGTGCTTCCCAGGTGGTGTCATCTAAGGAGAGGTGTGGTCATTGCTCTTTTTGTCTACACTCTGGTCTTTACCCAAGAAAGGCCCATGATCCCTTGGGATTGCAACTGATACTGCTCCTCAGGGCCCCTCCTCCCTTGGGACCAGAAGTGATATTGTTCTTCAGGATCTCTGATCTCTTGGGGCTGGAAGTGATACTGGCCCTCAGAGTTTTCACTCCCTCTTGATTGAAAGTGTTCCTCATCTCTACCCTTGAACCATGATCCAGAAGTGGGGATAGGCAATGGAGCTGCCAAACAGCACCTGGTCCTGTGTACAGTGCTAGCACGGGGGTGTCCTCTAATCTCTTTCTGAACAGTTGCCAGGTCCCCCTTACCATCCTTGACTTGAAAATTCTCAAAGCTGCTGCTGCTTCTGTCACCACTGCTTAGTCCCACCACTGGTGTTTCATCCACATGGGCTATGAGTTAGCCTCTACCCCCATGTTACAGATCCCTCTGACCTACTAAGTTGTCTTGGGCTGGAAGAATGTCTCTCTCTGACCTTCTGTTGGCTCTGCCACTCTAAAAATTTGAGATGTTAAAGTTGTTTGGAGGGGAATGTTGGGAGAGCCTGGCTGAATGCTTCTTTACTCCACCATCTTGGATCCACCCTGAGAAGCGAAGCTATTTTCTTCATTCAGGGTTCCCTATATCAATGAAACAACAGGTCTGTCCCCCACCCCTGAAAAAATTATAATAAATGAAGTAGTTGTTTTGTACATGTTGATATAATTACTCAAGTGATTTCACATGGTGTCTCTAATCAGATTTTACATCCTGTAGTGAGCACTCTTTTTATGTCTTATATACCATCTTTAATGCCTAGTACTATGGTCTACATGTGTTAGGTGTGCAATAAATATTTAACTAAATTTCAAAAAGTTTAGCTAAAAATTAATGTTCATCAAGACACTAAACCTATGAGATATAAATTGTAAATCCATTCAACTTTTAACTTGATTTTCTTAAATTTTCAATTCTACTAGTCAATCAATTTATTAAGCACCTACTATGTGTCACATACTGAGCTAAATGCTAGGGATACAAAAGGCAAAAAGAAAAAAGTCTCTGCCCTTAAGGAGCTTACAGTTTAATGGGGAGACAATATGCAAATAAATACATATATACATACATAATAAATAGGAGACAATCAACAGAGGGAAGGCACTGGAATTAAGAGGGGTTGGGGAAGGCTTCCTATGGAAGGATATATTTGGAACTTAAAGGGGGCCACAGATGTCAGTAGTGAGAGAAGAGGAAGTGTGTTTCAAGCACAGGGGACAACAATCAAGGTGAGGAGTGCAAATTTTATTACCTCCATTTTACAAAGGAAGGAGCAAAGCAACTTGCCCACAGTACCACAGCTGCTAAATTATGGAGTGGTACTGGAACCTAGCAATCTGGGTTCCATGTTCAGCATGGTTTTCTCTGTCCCACAATGATCCACACATTGTCTGATCCCACACACAGAAAATGGTTAAAATGCCAATTTTTTTTTTACTTAAGTATTTTTCAAGTAGTCTGTGACCACTAAACAGACAGGGGAAAAGATTTAATTTGGTCATTAACTGACATCTAGGTGACCTGATTCCATGATTTAGGTAGAGAGACCAGCTTCCTACATTTAATTTTAGTGATAATTTAGTTTTGATACTCAGAATGGTTTAGCAACTAAATTTTAAATTCAGCTATGGAGTTTGATGTAAATTCTCAACTTACAGCATGCCCTGGGAGAGGATTCTCTGAAGCCAAGAGCAGCTCTAGGTTGGAAATCAAATGAAAATTTTGTTATATATTTTGTTTACAATTACAGCAAAACCACATTACAATATATCTTGCCAGGGGTGTTATATGTATTTAGATATATTTAGGCAAACCCATTCTACCAACACTTTAGCAATACACAGTTCTAAAACCAACTTCTTTTTTTTCTTTTAATGTGCAAACTCACTTGATTCTCACTTATTCTTCCTTTTTCTTACCATGGGCAAGTCTTTCAGGATTTGTATTCCATCTCCTGGACCCATGTGTGCTATGTGGTTAAAATTAGTTGGGTTAGAAATTAATTTATTTCTCATTTCTGGATCACGTAGCATCTCCCTGTAAGAGAAAATGCCTAATTTAGACACTCATTCTATGAGTTAAGCTGGGCATTTCCAAAACAAGTACATTTTCTCTTTTTAGAAGAAAAATCTGAAACCATCTAAGAAATTGCTCATGTTAATACGAAGGATAACCCTTAGTGCAGTTGTTCTTCTATGTCAGCCTCAAACTTGCAGAAAGGGAAGAGGGGAAGTTCTGTCTTGCAAGCCAATATATGCACCCATAAAAATTCCAAATCGTGACTGAGGCAGAGAATTAACAGTCAGAGTGAGCTGAGATCATATTCAAGAAAAGATGCAGAAGGGGGATGCAATGGTGACCTGGTTCTTCTTCGAAGTTGGAGAAGCCAAAGGACAGAAAAAAATATAATTAGAATAATACTGCACTATTGTTCATGTTTGGAATTAGAATTACCTTAGCATTGTTTTGGAAGATATCATTTAGGCATTCAATAATATAATAACAACAAAGTAAATAAAATATCCCCCAAATTTACCTTGACATCCAGAGTTAAAAGTTAACATTTCTACTTTTATATTATAGCTAGTACTTTTCTCAAGGCAACACAGAAACTATAAGAAAAGGATCTTTTCAACGGAAAACTTAGTGAGTAGAGAAAGAAGATATTCACCTCTCTGGAGAAGTTTTAAATAACTCATAATTTCTGGTGGAAAATAGGACCTCATTCAGTCAAAGACATAAAAAAAAAATCTCTGCCCCAGACAATTCTGGACTGTTTTATTGTTTATCCTTAAAAATTATAACAGTTAAGATATTTCTATATATAAGTGGAATCATTACCTGCTTTTTGCCTATACATTTACAGAAATTCCAGCAAAATTGTTAGCTAGGTAATACACCATTAATGAAAAATCTTATAGTAAATTCACAGACTGTACAAGAGTAAGACCCTTAAATAAAGGAAAGCAGAACCAGAGTCTAAAAGTATTTAATCCATATTTACATTTAGTGTCATTTCTTCTTTTATAAAATGTTTATTAGAGCTCTTCATATGTACAGTTTAGAGTATATACACACATATATATATATACTATATGTACCCAATTTGTGGAGGCATGCATTCCAAATTACAGCTATTGCACACATTTATTTAAAAGTCCAAATAATATGCTTGAATCTAGTGCATCTTTACAACCATAGAAGGATTAGTTCAAGTTATACAGACAAGATAAAACACATTGCTGAACTGACACACACACAGGTGTCTGACAGAGTTTCAGAGACTGACTTTGGCTTTCACACAAATAATACAGCACTGTCACCAAACAATGGTCCTTCAGGGCCTACAGGCATGGACAGAAGACAAATATAAGTTAAATACCGACCTCCTCTGTTGCATCCTTTCCTCCTCTGGGACTCTGAAGGAATAACGCCTTTTATTATTGATGCTTCGAACCATTTGTTTCCGGCTATTATCTGATGTTTCAGGGACTACTAGCTCATCCCCCTCTATTAAAAACAAAATGAGTTTGAATTTAATTAACAAATAACTTGAGGAAAAATTCAACAACATTGCTCTATAATCTGCTAATCTGCTTTTATCTTTTATGCATTAACTTCAAAGAAATTTGCAAATGTCAAGGAATTGTTATTTTTATCATCATAACAACTGACATTTATACACAGTGTTTTCAGGTTTGCAAAGCACTTCGCAAACATTATCTCATTTGAGCTTTATTACATCCCTGTCAAGTAAGTACTCCATGTATTATCTTCATTTTTTAGATGAGAAAACAGAGGTTCAGAGAAGTCAGATGACTCGGCTATGTTTACTCAGCCAATTAAGTATCAAAGGTGGGATTCAAACCTCGATTTGCCTCACTCCAAGTTTAGCACTTGATTCACTACACTATGCTATAAGGATGTGCTATAATAAAACTACCATAAAAAAAGAAAACAAAATGAGGGACAGTGAATTTATGAAATATGATGTATTCATGACAGAGCTGGACCAGTTCTAGATGTTATGATTAGAAATTAAGATATGGTACCCTCATGATGACATTCAGATGGTATAAAACAGCTACTAACAACTTAAGTATGATTTGCAAAATTTTACTAAAAGAGAATAAGTATTAGAAAAGATGAATGATTTTCAAAATGAACCCATTCTCTAATAATTTAAATAGGGTCTTGTATTGGCTTGTGGCAGAACTCATAATTTTCAATGGATGTATATGTAATGTCACCCTATCCAAGTATATACTGTGTACTTTTAGAGTATATAATGTACATTTCAAAATCAATTTTTAATAGTAGACTTAGAATCCTGCTTTATTTATTTATTTTTTTGTTTTTTGCTAGGCAATGGGGTTAAGTGACTTGCTCAGGGTCACACAGCTAGTTAAGTGTTATGTGTCTGAGGCCACATTTGAACTCAAGTCCTCCTGAATCCAGGGCCGGTGCTCTATCCACTGTGCCACCTAGCTGCCCCTAGAATCCTGCTTTAAAGTAACAGGATATAAAATGACTGGTTTTTTTTTTCAGTTGAAGTCAATTAAACAAGTATTTAATGAACAACTATTGTAATGTTCAACACTACAGGTACTGTAGGGGAAATATCTATAATACTACTTGTTTTCAAAGAGCTTACAATTTTGTTGGGAAGGCAAGACATGAAACAAAGAATGAAATATGCAACAATGTCAACTGAATATGACAGACCGCCATGACAAAGGACCGATACAAATGCTAGGAGGTACTCAAAAAAAGGACGTGATGTGTAGGCTAGATTTGCAGGGGAAGGCTTCATGAAGGATATGGGTCTTGAAAGGTCTCAAGAGATTAATATAATAAAGAGAAGGGGCAGGGATTAGATTACAAATTCCTTGATGGAAAGGCTGTGTGTTGTCAAAGAAAAAAAGTGGGCACAAATCTGCTAGAAACAATTCTCTTTAATCTAACATTAAATGGAATAGCTGCTAATGTCTTTGAATATCAATGTCCCAAGATGATTTCAGGTAACATTTATAAGAAGCCCTAAGAAACTATAATAGTTAAAAATACAGTTTGGGTTAACATTCTAGCCAAGTAGAATAACTAGGCTGCCCCCCATTTCCTCCTGGAGCACTCCCCTTGAGGAATCAGTGGGGTTCCTCCTCCTTACTCTGAATGGGAGATAGAGAGTGTGCTTTTCCTTTCAATGAAAGAGAGCATTTTCCTTGGTTGGGTCCTAGGGCACTTTTCTTAGGGAGATTTCTACTACAGTTTAGGGGAAAAGTGTTGAAAGCCTGAACTAAAGTGGTAGCTGCGTGAGTAGAGAAGGAGTCAGCTGTCAGAGATTCTGTAGGAATAGAAAGAGCAATATCTGGCAAATATGTTGGTAAAGAAATGTTACTGTGATTTTAGATTAGGACACAGAAGCAGCTTCATTCAACAGAAGAGGTCATGACAATGTGACTCCTAGATTCTTTTTTTTTTGCTTTTTTGTGAGGCAATTGAGGTTAAGTGACTTGCCCAGGGTCACACAGCTAGTAAGTGCCAAGTGTCTGAGGTCACATTTGAACTCAGGTCCTCCCTCTATCCACTGTGCCACCTAGCTGCTCCTGACTTCTAGATTCTTAATTTATGAATTCCCTTAATACGACAATCATTTCCTTGACCTGACTTACCTCTGTACTGCTCCTAGATATGCCTGGGACAGTCCCCCGAATCTATTTAATCTGCACTATAGCTAAACTAGGTGGCACAACAGATAGTTTGCTGGGTCTGGAATCAGGAAGAACTAGGTTCAAATCCAGCTTCAGACACTAACTAGCTGTGTGACTCTGGACAAGTCACTAAATCCTGTTTGTCTCAGTTTTTTCATCTGTAAAATGAGCTGAAGGAAATGGCAAACCACTCTAGTATCTTTGCCAAGAAAACCCCAAAAGGGGTCACAAAGAGTCAGACATGACTTAAAAATAACTAAACAACAAAAATAGTATTATTAATATCATTACAACTAGTGTTCAGTTATAACATGGGTAAAATGGTTTTTCTGTGGATTTTCCCATTGGCCATTGCTTCTGTGGAAATATGTACTTTAAGGGACAAGTAAATGATTCATATTGCCTGCACTGTCTCCTGGATTTTTTTTTTTAATGGTAGAACTAGCTACCAGAATGTCTAACTGAATGGCCATAAAATCACCCTTATAAGTCTCCCTGTTCATGCTGTCTAAAAAATAAAATGATCAATAACTTAGCAGAATGTTTTACTTTAAGCCTGAATAATATCCAGGCATATTAATAATATAATTTTGTATTGAAACACTATATTTTGACACAAGCAACACCTTCCAATAGATACCCATACAAATCCCTCCAAAAAGTTTAAACTCCCAAACCACTCCATGGCTGAAAACAGTTCAGCAAAACTGCCTAATATCATGACTCACAGGTGATTTAGTAATGCCATTCTCTACCCTTTTAGTTACCAATTATTAAGAGAAATGGAGGTTATATGCTTTAACTTCGGTAGTTTAGTATCAACACTGTCCACTGAATTTGACTTTGGTTTTCTTGCATTTGGCATTTTCTTTAAATGGTATATTATTATATATTCTGTTCAGCAGTCTTTGTTGCTTCAGTTGCTGATTGTAGGATGAGCAATTGTTCCCTAGCCATAAATATCTATATGGCATTTTTGCTGGAAGGCAGTGATATAGCAGAAAAAGCAATGAGTCTGGACTCCATTCCTGGTTTAATCACCTGTGGAACTCTGGGCAAACCACATAATTTCTTTAACTCTCAGTTTCTTCATCTTCAAAATATAGGATTATATTAGCTCTCAAATGTACTTTCCAGAAATAATTGTGATTTGAAATGAATTCCTAGGACAAGCTTATTGTATCAAATCATAACTTTCTATTTCGACATAGTCTGCTAGCCCTATAGAGATGATTAAATTTTTTTTGGGGGGGAATTTAGGAATTGGAGGGCTTTATGACAGAGTCTATTATTAAGTAATGAATTAAATAATGAAGGTACAACACTTTAGAAAGTCCTTTAAATTCTGGCCATTAAAAACAAATAAATAAAACTATTACAATAGCTCCATAGAATCTCAGATTACCAGAGACCCCTTAGTCTGCCCTGGTTCCTGACCAAGAATCTTTATACATCATCCCAAGCCTCTGCTTGAAGATCTCCAGTGAGTGGACATTTAGTAAGTGTGACAGCATTTGTGCTAAATGGTGGAGAAACAAAGGCAAAAAATGAAAACTCCCCTGCTCTCAAGGAGCTCAGGCTGAATCTGCTTCTCAGCAACTTCCTTACTTTGCTCCCAGTTCTCACCTCGGGGGCCAAGTAGAAGAAACATAATATCTCTCTTAGACTGCAGTCCTTCAAGCACCTGAAGAAAGCTGTCATCTTTCCCTCTCCCTACCATTACTACTTCTTTTTTCCAGACCAGCTAGCTCATGTTTTTCAGCTGATTCTGGTATGGCATGGTTTCCAATCACAGAAGTCACAGCCACAAAGAGATTATTTTTATATAAGTATTCTCATTAAGACTATATTTTCCCCTTACCTGCCATCTTATTTTTGAAATATATTAATCTAATTGTCTCCAACCCTAAAAGGTTTAATGATCCTTCTGTGTTCAAGGGTCGCACCTAAAACAGAAAAGAAAATGATTATTTCAAAAAATTAATACAAAATCAAATTGTAAAACTATTAGATTATTAATGAAGATACACCATTAAGAATTTTCCTTCATCTTTCTTACTATAAAAATTGCAGTCTCAAATATAACTTGTGAGAAATGTAGAGTAATGCTATTAATTCTGACTCTGAAGGTATAAAATATATAACTTGAAATACCAACTCATGAAGATTAAATAAGAATCTCAGATAAAATATGTCTATTATTTTAAAGTGCTAATTTCCTTTAAATGAAATAAACTATTTAATTAAAATGGCCTTCTTGGAGTCATATGTGACTACAACTCTTATGTTGACAAAACAATAACATATCTCTTGTGCAAGTTCATAATGTCTTAAAAATGTTAAAGCGAGATAAAGACCAATTTTTTATTGCTTCAGTTTTTTATTCTTTATAAAGAACTAATTTTGAAATTGGACAATTACTGAAACGTAATTTGACACTTTTTCTCCTCCTCCATAGAATGGTATACAAATATATCTTTATGAAATCCTTCTTATTTGCTCAATTGGCTTTTCTCAGCATGGCAATTTTCTATTTGTGAAGATTACGATGTAAGATGAAAAAAGTTTTTTTGAAAAAAAAAATTTGAACCTGTAAAATCCTAACTTTTTCAATTGTGAGAAGTTTATCCACTGCTTTAGCCACAAACTTTATAACTGTTCAGCTCTTTGTAAAGATACGTTATTAATATACAGAAACCAGTCATAAACTAAAAATTACACATGCTCTAGGTCCTTTTTTAAAAAAAATCAATATGAGAGTGAGGGTTATATTCATCTTAAAGGTAGGAGAATATAGTTTTTAAGCAGCCATAGCCATAGCTATACTATGGAATCAAAGATAACAAAGTACATGGTACATATTGATATGCCTATAGTAAAATTTATCATTCGTTCCTCTTGTACTAATTTTTCCCCTTACTTATAAAGAAGACTCGGATTATCAACTATTTTTTCTGTCTTTCAATTCTTAACTTTTTTTCCTCTTTCCTAAAGAGTGTTCCCAACATTTCAATTTTCCATCAGTAATTCACGAAGCACATATCTTTAAGAGTGTAGCACACGGTTGCTTAACTACAATGTAGAATTACCTTCTTGAGGGGGATTGTCTGAATCCATTCCATGGAATTGACATCAAATATATCAACTGCATTTTCACTATACACTGAAAGGTATGGTGCATTGTAACCTAAGGGGAATAAGGGGAAGTAGCACATTTAAAAATTAAAATTAACCAAGTATCTTTAATTATGCTATTTATTAAATATTAGATATATTATACATTTTAAGTAAAGTACATAATACATTTTCCAAGATATGAGAACGGGCTATTTCTTAATTATTTCATTCAGTAGTCAGCACATACAAACTACTACCCTTTTTAAAAGTCTAGACTCTAAACTCTTCGAAAGTAGATACCAATGTTATATAAACTTTGCATCTGTCCTATATGCAGTAGGTACTTAATGTCTTTGGTGTTAACAATAAATTAATTAGCATAGTGGTTATTTTCCTATTATAGTTATCATGAGATTTTTATTAACTATATTTTGGGTGAGTATAATGATATCTAGGGTAGCTAGGTGGCACAGAAGATACAGTATTGGGTCTAGAGTCAGGAAGATGCATCTTCCTAAGTTCAAATCCGGCCTCAGAAAATTAACAGCTGTATGACTGTGGGCAAGTCACTTAACCCTGTTTGCCTCCGTTTCCTCATCTGTAAAATGAGCTGGAGAAGAAAACGGCAAACCACTCCAGTATCCTTGCCAAGAAAATCCCAAATGGGATCACAAAGAATCAGACATGACTGAAATGACTGAACAACAAATGATAACTAACCACAAAATGGATTCAAAGTCCATCCAAAGTAATTATCCCAATGCAACATATAGATATTAATTTTAGGTCTTTAACTTATATCATTACAGCCTTAAATATTAATTCTGTTGGCCTAGAGTTAATTTCATTACACTTACTATTAATGGTCCCTGAAGAAGCATGGTAAATATTTTGGAAAAACTTTAACTAATTAAAAAAGAAACCACCTGAAAGTTGTTATTAATTCTGGTAGAACATGGCAGTTAAGAAAAATAAAGATAAGGTAGGTACAGGCAGGCAACTCTTACAGCAGGAGGATGGTACTGCAGGCCACATCAGTTCTTGCTGTCTTGATCTTCTGCCCTGGCAGTCAATATATATTCCAACGCTGCTAAAACACAGCAGATACTCTTTATTGGAGATCTCGACTGCACAGATTGCATCAGTTGGTTGTTGTGCAATAAATGACAGTGTATGGTCATCCGGATGGAGCAAGCTGTGTGGACTGCCTTCTCCAGGCAGGGGATATCTGAGGAATCCTGATTGAAATCCCACACAGAGTCGTTCACTGAAGACTGACATCCACTGGACATTACCCAGGACTTGGATCTCCTTCATCTTTTTGTGACGGGTCTTGCTTTGATTTAGTTCATAACAGAGGACTTGCCTTTTCATAGCCACACACAGGCAGGTAAGAGCTCCATGGCGCACCTGTCCAGAAGCTATGGTTTGGCAACCTTTAGTCTCTGCCAGCTTAAAAAATTCAGTCTCTCGTCCATCCAAAGCAGACATGGGGAAAAGTCGCACATGGCGGTTTCGTCCTGAGATCACAGCAATGAGCTGTTCATTTGGGATGAGTTCAATCTGATGAACCTTCTTATTGTCACCAACACGAATAATCTCTACACAAATTAAAATTAGAATAAATTACTTAAACAGACAACATTATATTATGGTTCTATGTGAAAGCATATAACATTGCATTGTAATTATATATAAACATTTTATAATTTATCTGAAATAACACTTTTTATGGTTGTTACTTCTGGTGGCATTAATACAATTATGAAAAATTCAAGCAAAATTGTATTCCCAGCTTTATCACCTGTAAGATTGCCCCCTGAGTACTTAATTCTAATTATTACTTATGGTAAAAGTAAGAAAAATAACTGAAGTTTTAGACCCTACAGGGAATATGGAGCATTGGAAAATTTAAAACTGCAAACATATAAAAAAAAGAGTTGTAAAATTTCAGTTATAAAATAAACAAAAGACAAAATTTTGTTACTGTTAGTTTTCTCTTTTTCCTGATACATATGGTTTAAAGTTATCCCAAGATAATGAAGTTTTTCCTTACCATCTTTTGTGACATGCACAACAAATAACCCTTCTTCATTTCCCAGAGCTATTCTTTCATGATCTATGACACACAAATAAAAAGGTCAAGAATTTTCATATAGTAAATGCTACTTGAAGCCAGCAGGGTAAATTAGGTAAGTATCCTAATACAAGTAATAAGCTGCCAGACAGAAATTTAAATAAAGGTTAACTAGAACTGCAGATGCAATATATAAAATAGAAAAGATATTAATTACAATAATTCATTTATACAATTCATTTTCCTTGCAAGAAAAATAGTATTACCTATCTCAAAAGACAATGATTGAAAGATCAAAAGCCTGATCATTGCTAAACAATCTTTATCAATACTTTTTCAAACAAGTGGGAACTAAAACAAAGATAAGCTTCCATGCCAGCTATAATAATATTTATAATCAGAAAAAATAGAGAGATCTGAGTTTCAATTCCATTTTTTAGCTTAATGAGGACATAATGTGAAAGGAAGAACTTGATACAGTTCTACAGGGCAATTTAGAACCAATTTTACCTAGCCGATTTAGACTGGATAGATGATAATAACATCTAGCATTTATATGGAGTTTCAAGATTTACAAAGCACTTCATTTATATGATCTCATTTGATCCTCCAAACAACCCAGTAAGTTAGATGCTATTTTTATTCCCATTTTACAGCTAAAGAAACAGACTAAAAGGGGTTAAGTGATTTGCCTGGGGTTGTGCAAGTGTCTGAGGATCCACTGAACTTCCAGACCTAGTTAAGCAAGGTAACTAAAGAGTCTAAGTATGAGGTATATGAGAAAGTAAATGCTTCATACACATATGATTAGAAATGAAAACTACAGAAAAAGATCAGCGTCATCACTGCCCATGATACTGCTGTACGGCTTGACAAGTTTTGTAAGCAAAGTATTTTCACTGACAGAAAAAGGATTCAGTGTTGATCAGACAATTCCCACCTATGATGGCTGCTGCTTGGGTTGTTTTAATGAGGGGAAGAGTGCTGTCATAGGCCTCTTTAGGGATGTAGACTGAACGGTCTTTAAGTTTATTCTTCTTCAAAATCCTGTGCAGTTCATTCAGTAAGCACACCCATTTGCTCTTCTCATTCTCACTATCTGCTAACATCAGGACTGAACATTTGTTACTTGATGCTGAAAGCTGAGAAGCTGTTACCTAAAAAAAAAATTATAGATCTTTAATACATTAGGAAACAAGTATTTTTATTCTAGCTTAGTTTCTGACATATCAAAAAAGAGCACAAGTGACAGCCTTTAAAATGGTTTTTTAATTGACATTGCCAACACAGTTAAGTAGTTTCTCATTAACAGAATAACTTATTATCAGCCTGAGAATCCATGCCAAAAGCAAATGTGAGAGACTTTGCAAAATGCTAGCATTAAATTGCTTTTTCCTGTCATTAACATATTTGGATATTCTCACTAAACAATATACTATATGTATGCTGGAAACTAAATGTAGTTTGTTAAAAAATGCATCAGAAATGTTCAGAAAGATACATTTTCTGACTGTTGTACACTGATATTTTAGATTAAAATGAAAGTGAGATTACTTTGCATGAGTGTCCAGGTGAAAAAGACACTGTCCCCCCACACGGAATGTTCTTCCTCTTCACCTCTACTTCCTGGCTTCCTTCCAGACTCAGCTCATTTCCCACCTTCGGCAGCAGGCCTCTGCCATCTCCATCTTCAACAGTCTTCCCCCCCCGCCAGCTCTTCCCCTAGAGATTACCTCCCATTTTTAATGTATAGATGTTATACTTACAGAGTTATGCACATGTGTCTTCCTTGTTAAACTGTGAACTCCTTGAGGACAAGGACCCCCGTTCTGACCTTTCCTTGTATCCCTAGGGTTAAGTACTGTGCTGGTCACTTTGTAAGTGTTAATTAAATGAATGCTATGCTCTTCAAATACTTGAAGATACCTACAAATGTTCACTTTGCCTTCCATTCTCACCCCCTACTTAATAAATTCCAATAGCTCCCTCTTACTTCTAGGATCAAATACAAAATGTTCTGTTTTGGCAGAATGGCATTCAAAACCCTTTGTACCTAGGCCCCTCCAACCTTTCCAATCTTCTCATACCTTACTTCCTTTCTTCAATCCAGTGACAACAGCCTCCTGGCTATTCCATGAACAAAACACACACTCTCTCTACTCTACGTATTTTCTCTGACTGTCCTCCATGCCTGGCAGGCTCTCCCTCCTCTGCTCTGCCTACAGACCTCCCACCTAAAATGCCTTCTTTTGCTGGAAGCCTTTCTTCTGTTAATTACTTCCTATTCATCCTGTATATTAATTTGCTTTGTATATATATATTTGTTTGCATGTTGTCTCCCCTGTGAGACTGTGAGCTCCTTGGGGGCAGTGACTGTTTTTTGTCTCTTTTTGTATCCCCAGAGCTTAGTACAGTCCCTGGCATATATATAGTCCATGCTTTATAAATGTTTACTGATTAGTTCCAACATGTGATTATTAGAAGGCATGATCTTGAGGTCTTCACATCATTCTAGTTACTTTCTTCAGGACATTCTCTGGTTCATTAATATCCTTCCTAAAATGTAGGATACTATACTCCAAACTTGGTTTGACAAGGACAGCACTATCACCTCCCTAGTCTTGGACTCCATACCTTCCTTAATGCAATCTATGATTGCATCTATTTCGGTTACTGTATCACACCACTGAATCATATTGATCTTGTGATCTGTTAAAACTTTACAATTTTTTCCAGACAAGTTGTGATCTAGTCAAACATATCTACGTCTTCGTACCCTAGAAAAACCTATTCCCTCTTCCCACTTCTTACCTGTGGTCCATCTTTCTCATTGATGAGAACTTCCTGAAAAATTCTATTTTGAGCAATGGCCCAGGTAAACCCTTCATTCCCCTCCAAACTTTGCTTCGCACTGACTGGAATTCACCACCACAACCCCACATAGAATTTCCATGTTCTTTTTTGTGTGTTGATTTCCTCCATTAGAATGTAAGCTTCTTGAGGGTAAAGACTATTTCTTTTTGGCTTGTATTTACATCTCAAGGAGTTATTGTATTCAGTGCCTGACACAGAATAAGCACTTAATAGACAATCTGTTGACTTGACTTACTGATATATATGGAATTGGATTTTTGAACCAAATTTAAAGAACACCATGTTTTAATATTCTGGTAGGGATAAAGTCAAGCTCATGGGCCAATAGTTTGCAGAGTCCATTTTCTTTCCTTTTAGGAGGATGTTTGCCATCTTTCAATCTCCGAATAGCTCTCTGATTCTTATGACCTCTCAAAACTCACTGATGCTGGTTTAGAAATTACATCTGCCAATATTTTCAGTATCCTGGAATATAATTCTTTCAGAAATGGTTGCTTAAACTAATCAAATACAGCTAGGAGTTCTCTTACTACTTTCCTACTTACCATGGTTAACAACTCTTATTGACAATTTTCGATTTGTCCTTTCTAGCCCAAAGATCACTCTTTTTGAAAGAGAAAACAGAAGAAAAATAGGAGTTGAGCATCTCAGCCTTCTCTCATGTTCACTACCATAGCCTCACCTCTGTTCTTTGGAAGCTTACAATCTAGATATAGACATATCAATATATATTTAGGTGAAAAATTTAGACTTCGGAGAATAAATTCTAGCATATACACTTACCCTAAAAATACAGGGGATATCCTTTCGGCTTGCATGAATAACATCAGATGCCAAAACTGAACTCACGGAAAACTCTTCATCCCTGAAAAAAGCAAAACAGTTAAAATGAGTTACTGCTTCTTCTTATTTTATTTTAAATTTTAGTTATTGTTTATTTATTTATATGAATATCCAGATAAATACAAGTAGCAGCCCTCAAAACTGAATTTTAAGGGGCAGCTAGGTGGCGCAGTGGATAGAGCTCCGGCCTTGGAGTCAGGAGGATCTTAGTTCAAATCCGGCCTCAGACACTTGACACTAGCTGTGTGACCCTGGGCAAGTCACTTAACCCCCATTGCCAACAACAACAATGGAATTTTACAATGAAAAGAACACTCAAATCTGATTTTAAAATAATTTTTTTCTCTCAATTAAACTGGTAGGCAACAGTCAAAATATTCCGCAAGAAGTACAATATTATTCTGTATCAGAAATAACTATGAGCTTTGAAGACATAGATTTCATAACATAATTTACCTTCTAGGATAAGGCAATAACAATTCCTGACCAGAGAATCCTCCAAAGCTAAAAGTTTTAATTATTTAACTCTTCTCATTCATCCTTTAAATTAAAAAAAAATCTTTTCCATTATTAAGAAAAATTTCACTTTCCTTTGGTCCGAACAGATAGGAAGGACAGACTGCATATTATGTACCAAAAAGATTTAAAATATAAGACAAACATCTCTTAATGAGATTTTATTGAATATCTCTCTCTCTCTCTCTCTCTCTCTCTCTCTCTCTCTCTCTCTCTATATATATATATATATATATATATATATATATATATATATATTTTGGCTACATTTCAGATTGGAATTGTTCTACAATATGATCTTCAAGATCTAATAATATCTGAAACCATTATACAATGTCTTTTTCTTTTGTGAATATATTTTATTAATGATACAAAAAACTTTTTCGCTCTCCTAAAAATATTTTTAGTTAGGACACTTTTAGTGAGAACAATGTGCCTGAATATGCTCCGTTATTTTAAAACACATTTTTGTTAATATGTTTGTTTTTATATTACCAAGATTTTTCTGAGTATCTGTCTCACTCCTCATGAGCCATTCCATCTTATGACTAATTTTTTTCTTTTTTAAAAAATATAAAATAAGAAAAAAAAGAACATTTCCATGTACACAGCAGAACATAAAGAGAGAATTTAATATAAAACTATAAATTTCCATTTCAGACTACTTTTTTTAAAAAAACTATGTAGTAAGTCCTACACATTGTTTTCAAAGCTACCCAACTTTTCTGTGCTTTCTTCTAAGTTTTTGTTTGTTCTCTGCTCTGAACTTTTTTTAAATTTTTTCTTCCCTCCCCAATCCACCCTAGAGAAGGCTACAATCAAACACGAATCTGTATATACGTATACATATATATTTCTACTTATCAGTTCTTTCTCTGGAAGTAGATAGCATCTTCCTTCACAGGTACAAGTCTTTCCATGTTTTTCTAAAATCAATCAGCTCAGCCTTTCTTATATCACAGGCAGATTCCATCATAATCATATACCACAACTTGTTTAGCCGTTCCCCAACTGAAGGGTATTATTTTAGCCAATTTGGTAAGTGAAAGATGATATCTCAAAGTTGTTTGAATATGCATTTCCTCTAATCAATAATGATTTAGAGCATTTTTATATGACTATGTATAGTTTTGATTTCTTCATAGAAAAACTGCCTGTTCATATTATTTCCTAAGTAATTTATGTTTTCCGATTATTGGAAATGAGATTATTGAGTTCTATTGTTTTTGATTCTACCTTGTCTAGTTTGTTCCTATGAACTACTTCTCTATTTTTTAACCAATATCCAATGATTTTGATGGCTATAGCTTTATAATACAGTTTGAGGTCTCAAAGTGCTATTTCCCCTCTATACCTACCTTTTTCATTATTTCCCTTGATATTATAGAACTTTTGTTTCTCCAAATGAATGTTATTACTTTATTTATATAATTAGATTGAAAAAACATTAAACCTATGAATTAACTCTGGTAGTATGTCTTTTTTCTTATATAGGCATGACTGAGTCGAGGGCACTTGAACACTCCTCCAAGTTCCTTAAATTGTTCTTTATTCCTTTAAAAATCACTGTGTAATGGGATGTATTCAAGTATTTGATGTGTTTTCATAGATTGACCCCCAAATATTTTAGACCTATTTTGAACGAGATTTTCATTTACTACTTTGTGAATTTTGTTATTATTAAACAGAAGGGCTATTGATTTTTACGCGCTCATTTTATAAGCTACTGTCTCAGTATTTTTGCTGATTTCCTAGGATTTTCTCAGTGAAATGTCATATCATCATTAAATAGTTTTATCTCCTCTTAACCTATTTTAATGACTTTAATTTCTTTCTCTTGTCTTATTGCTAACATTTCTAGAATTATATCAAATAATAGCAAGGAGAGTAGACAGCCTTGCTTTATTTTTTAAGATTTTACTGAGAAACTTTATCGTACATCCCCATTGCATATGATACTTACTTTTCATTTTAGACAAATACTTCTTGTGGTATTTTACAAATTCTCTGTGTCTGTATCTTGTGTTTTTAGCATAAATTAAAGTTGTGCTTTGTCACGGGGTCACAAACAGTTAAACACGACTTAACAACAACAACAACAATGTCACAAGTTTTTCTGGCATCTATTGAGATAATCATGTGGTTTTGAATACTTTTATTTTTAATACGATTAATTTTGTTTGCTGCTTTCCTACTGAAGAATTATCTTTGCATGTCTGGTATTAATCTAATTTGTTCATAATGAGTAATTCCTTGGATAAATTGCTGTAGCTTGTTTGAGAAGATTTTATTTTAAATTTTTGAATTCACATTCATTAATAATATTGTTCTATAGTTCTGTGCTTTATTCTTTCCTGGTTTAGATATTGGGACTATGTGGTCTAATAAAAGGAGTCTGGTACAGTATTTTCTTTTTCAATTTTTGTGAATAATTTGCATAGCGTTAGTACTAATTTTTTCTTTAAAAATTTGATAGAATTCTACTGTCAATCTATCTGGGAACAGGAATTTTTTTGTTTGGTAGTTCCTTTATAGTGATTTCTGTTTTCTTGTCTGAGAAGAGATCATATAAGATCTCTATTTGGTCTTTTGTTAGGTTGAGTAATTTATATTTTTAAAGGTATCTCTGTATTTCTTTTATGCTTTCAGTTTTGTTAGCATAAACTACAACTGTGCATAGGAGGTTGTAATTATTTTTTATTTCTTCCCGATTTGCGATTTCATGTTGATCATTTGCTATTTTATTGATTTTCTGTCCTCTTTAATCAGGTTGGCTAAAGGTTTATTAATTTTGTCAGTTTTTTCAAAGAATCAATGGTTAGTTTTATTATTTTCATACTCTTTCTTTTGGTTTCCAACTTATCCATTTCTCCTCTAATTTTAAATAACTTCTCTTCCGTATTTATTTTGATTTTGTTCATTTGGTTTAACTTTTGATTTTTTTTCTAATGGATATTAAGTTCATTAATCATTTCTACTCTGTTAAGGTATGTTTTAGGGATATAATTATTTCCCTGAGGACTGTTTTAGCAGCATAGCAGAACTTGAGGCATATAATTTCATCACTATAATTTCCTTTCACATAATTACTGTTTCTACATTTTGTTCTTTGACCCATTCATTACTTATGATTTCATTGTTAAGTCTTCATTTGGGTCTATGTGCTCATTGAACTGATTATTATGTTTTTTTCTGTTTATGTCTGAGAGGACATTAATGTTCTGCTATTATTGTATTACTGTCTGTTTTCTTCGGATTCAATTATTATTATTATTTATTTATTTTTACAAATTTATAGGCTAAGAATTTGAGCATTTAAGTTTAATATTGATATTGGTTTGTTGTTTATGGTTCCTTTCAGCAAAATGTAGTTTCCCTATTTACCTATATGTTTTGAATTTTTGTTTTTGCTTTAATAACATGATTCCAAGTCTAGCCTTTTCTATTTCACCTGATGCATAGTAAATGCATTATTTCTAGCTCCTCATTTTTATTTTGAATATGTCTTTGCTTTTTAGGTGTGTTACCTATAATTTTTTTGGATTTTGATTTCTTATCCAATCTGTCATTCTATTATTTTATTGTGCTGCTTAATCCATTCTTTTAACGATATGACTTGTTTACATTTTCTTCCATTTTTATCTAATATTCATTATATTCTCTATTAGAATTTTCTTCTTCATCGTCCTCTATAAAGTCAATACTTTGCCTCATTATATTTGGTTAATCTACTTTAATGCAACCCTCTGGTCACCCTCAACTTCTCTTTCTTCCTTTTCCCTAGTATTGGCAATTTACTTAACTTTTTAATTCCTTTTCTTCCTTTTAACCAGTTATCTGATTCTTTCCTTGTTTTTCCTTCCAGTTAAGTAAAATCTTCACCTCCTTTTCCTTTCTCCTATTGCTAATATAGGTAGCATCAGACAAAAAAAATTAACTGTTAGGGACTTCAAAGTATCCCTTTCATCTGAAATGTTTTCAGACATATGTGGAGACTAAAGAATGAACAGGTAAATGAACAAATCATAGAAAAAATAATTACATAAGATCATAGTATCATAGATTTAGAGCCAGAAAGTAACTTGTAGTTCTATCTATTCCTTTCTCTATGGATTAAGGGACTGAGGCCCAGAGAGATTAAGTGTCCAAGGTGACACAGGCAGTACATATCAGAGGAAGGATAGAACCCAGATTTTCTGACTTTACATCATGCATATTTTCCACAATACCATATTGTCTTAAAAAAATGCTAAGAATGAATCAGCATATTAAAAATTTATAAGTTATAGCCAAAGCAGAGCTTAGACAAAAATCTATAACTAAAAATATAAATAGAAAGTGATCAGTGAATCTTATTAAGTAATAACTCTGCGTTCCTATTTTATTTTGATGAAAAATTCTTTGACCTTCTAAACTTACCTCATATCAATCACTTGACTGACTACCACACTGGGTTGGGATGCTTTTCCTTCAGCTATATCATATAGGAAGAGTTTGAAGTCACAAACCACAGCCAATGCTCGCTGCCAACCTTTCTTCACTCCAGCTGGTTTGGGGACCTTTAATTTTGATTTAAAAAAAAAAAAGAAAATGAAAATATGAAACAGAGTCATCAAGTATATTAAAATACAAAGATACTAAAGATTCACTATCACCTTTCAGTAGAGCTGTTACTAGGACATGGAATTTAGAGAGCTCTAATAGCACCCTCCTGGAGGGTGCTGCTTCTCCTGCCTAGTTCTATCCGGGATTACTGCAGGAAGCTTCCTTTTTGTACCACCCTATCACTGGCCTTCTTTTCTCCTGTGCCCAGCTCCATACTCTGTATTGGCAGCACACTTTTTCCAAGTGGCCAACTATCAATACAGTAGAAATTTTGGGATATCTTCATGGTCTACTTCCTCCTACCAGAAGCCAATTTACCAATCCCTGCCTGAGGTATATTTTCTCCTCACAGGTAACACTGAGGTGAGCCCTGCCCTGCCCCTTCTTCATGTTGATTGTCTCAGGGGAATATATTGCTAGCTATAATTTTGCTTCTTCTTATTTTTTGTTTTTGTGAGAGACAAGTAAGGTTAAGTGACTTGCCCAGGGTCACACAGCTAGTTAAGCGTCAAGTGTCTGAGGCCAGATTTGAACTCAGGTCCTTCTGACTCCAGGGCTGGTGCTTTATCCACTGTGCTACCTAGCTGCCCCAGTTTTGCCTTTTTTCATATTGGTAACAGAAACAAATGAAAAGAATAAAACACGAAAAAGATAAGCTATTAAAATACTGAATAAGACATATTCAGTATCAGGTAATCAACAGTATTACTTTACCCTTTCATATGTTTGCTCTGGAGGATAAACCTAGAAACTCAATTGTCAGTTTGGGCCACCTGATATCTCTGAAAAGTATTTTTAATAAAAAGTGGTAGAATTTGACATTAATTTTAATTGATTAATAAAATGGCATAATAACATGCGTAACCCATACCAATGACACTTACCCTAACATGGCCTTCATATGCTGTTCCAACTCCTTTTTGTGGGTCTATTCCCAGAGGGGCTTTTGTTTGTTCAGGAGGAATTGGACAAAATGCTGGAGCTTTGTCCGCACAGGTAACATGACATGAGAATCCACATACTTAGAGGACCAAAACAAAGACATTATTTTTGTGATAATTCACTTAATAATTTAACCAGCAAATATCTACTACATTCCTAGTATATGCAAGACAACGTCCTAAGTACATTCTCATATCTGTTTTAGCTTGATCATTTTTAATGATTGGTTAATTAACGGTTTTCTAAAAATGGTATGTTTGTTTATTAGTAAGAAATTGAATATAATTTATTAGAAGTTGGTGATAACAACTGCTGGTATTATAATGATATTTGTTGCACATCTGATTAAAGTGACTGACTAGCATATATTTTAAAAAGCTAAAATCTAAAATGACCCCCTGTCATGTAAACTACAGATTTATATGTCCTATTCTTGCTTGATGCATTTAGGAAAAAGAAAAAAAACAACCATTCCTTCACAGAGATACAAATGCCACCATCACAGAAATATATATGTCAAGAATGAATTTAACATAAAAATCAGTGATGCAGTTTTGTCATCTGTAACATCTTAGGTAATTTACTCTATCTAAAAATGTGTCCTAAAGCAGAGCTCTCCTAGAAATTAATTTAGAATGAAAGAAAGAAGATACACAAAGAGAATCCTCTTGTGTCTCACTGTGAACTAAATATGAAGAATAAACAATAACTACAAAAATGAACATTATTTTTAAATAATCCAGTATTCTGAACTCTTTACCACAGATAGTGGGAACACAATACACCCCAAACTTGGCTAAGGTTTTTAAATGTTCATTCCTTTTTTGTTTTTAATTCTGGGTCTTCCATTTTGCCCAGGCTAGAAGTACAGGGGCTACTCATGGGCTTGATCCTACTACTGATTGGCAGAGCAATTTTGATCTGCTCTGTCTCCAACTTGGGCAGGTATGCTCCTCCTCAGTGAACCTGGTGGCCTCCTGGCTCCTGGGTGCCCACCATATCAATACTGAACTTAGTGCTAATATTCAGTCAGCACTGCCCATTGTAGCTCAGAACTCATGAGCTCAAGATAGCCACCAGCCTCACCCTCTCAGTAGTTAGACTTACAAACGCATGTATTACCACACTGAGCTTAATAGATAATTTCTAGTCTGGCAGCATCCTTTTCAGTAAAGTACAATGTATAGAGTTGTGAAAGACTGAGTACATGGCAAGTCCTTAATAAATATTTGTTAATTGACTGAATATTATAAGTAAAAGCTTAGGTCATAATTTCTCTGAATTGGAACAGTTTAAAATGTCAGTTAGTAACAATTATTGTGGCTATGTTGTGTCAATATCACTACAATGTGTAGGTAACATCTAAATAAAAAGAGTTGTTATAGTTGTCTGAAATGTACTTTATAATATTATGAAATGGATAATTTTTCTTTTACTGAATTCTGTTATAATTTCAGAGATATTCCTAAAAGAAAAAAAGCTGACCCTAAGGCAAATACATTTTATCTAATGCCAAAGTGTTATTCACTGGACCTTGATAAGCAATGAAAAATCCCTAACATAAAATCATTTATAAAAGTATTTTGTGGTATAGTGAAAAAAACTTAGTTCATCTGAATGTGTATTGCCCTTTTAAACATGGGTGAAATTATACTCAAAGGGTACATTAAAAAGATTAAAGGAAAACTTTCATTTTTTCTACATCACAAAGGAATGTGGGTTCTGAACTATGAATTCTTCCCATTAGTGTTAACAGGAAATGAAACATAATTCTTAGAGAATTCTTAGTTACCAAGCGTTATCTTTCTATTTTCCTAAGTAATACAAATAGGTTAAAACAGATATTTATTCAGCAAATTGCTATGTTTCCAAAATGTCTTAATTGCAAAAGAAAAAGGAAATATATGATTTAAGCAAAAATCAGTATCTTCAGGATTTTACAAGAATAAAATTGCGTGAATAATATTCTCAACTATAAATATGAATCTAAATTTCCATTTTTTCCCCTCTCCATTCTTACCTTCACAAGCACAGCCCTGTCTTATCAAACCAACCATCAGAGATGTGCACTGATTACATTTGGTAGGAGTGTTAAACGACTTTACTACAAACTGGTGGGCCTTCGGCTACGAAACAAATGGATAAAAGCATATGTTGACAGTTATTTTGTGATAAGGTAATTGCATATTTTCTTACATTATCATCTTATATAGAAATGTGTTTATCTCCTTGGCATGCTCATCTACATGGGCAAGTCACTTAGTGTTCTAAGTAATTCTCCAAGACTAAAAGTTGCAGAAAAAGTGTCAACCTGCATTGGTGGCAGGAGTTTCCTCATCTGGAAGTTCCTCATATATCAATGAAATCATAGGTCTAGTCCCTATCCTTATTATACCCTGGGTCACATATTATTCATAGTATCCCAGAAAAATTGTGAATTCTTCTTTAATATGGTCTTGGAAACTTAAAAAAGAATACTGAAAGTTTCAAAATTAAGGTTGTAAGTAAATTCTATTCTCTTCCTCAATAAAAGAAGTACAAAAGTAAGGAAGGTGTAGCTTTCCTCTTCTTTCCAGAGAAACTTTAATCTTGGGGCAGATGATAGTTTCAGAAAGGCAGTGGGAAAAAAGGGGTAGGGGAAGGGGATAAATATTTATATAGTACCAATTATGTGCTAGGCACTATGTTACGTGGGTTTTTTTTTTAAACAGATAATTCTCTCATTAGACCCTCACAACAACTCTGTGGTAATATTATCAGCCCCATTTTACAGATGAAGAAACTAAGGCAAACAACAGTTAAGTGACTTGCCTAGGGTCACACAGTTTTGGCAAGTGTCTGAAGCCGGATTTGAATCCAGGTCTTCTTGACTCTAGGCCTGGTGCTCTGCATACTGTGCCACCAGCTGCCTCCGTGAGAGGCACTAGCCTTGTGTCATTCACTCTAGATATCTCTCTTTATACTGAAAACTGCAGGTGATGGAACTAAAAGCATCCTTCAAACCGCCTTGTCCAAGCTGCTCGTTTTAGAAACAAGGAAGCTGCAAGAGGGAGGAGTGAGCTCAGTGAGGAAGTGACAAGGCAGGGATTACAACTTCTTTTTTCTGACTTTCAGCTTGGTGCCCTTTCCACCACAACACACTGCATTCAAATCCATATCTGGGCCAAAGTTTGAGATGAGTTTATAACCTGTTATTCAAAAGAATTAGTGGAAAGGATATCAGGCTACCTAAGACATGATTATGTCTTGCTTATAAGCAAAAGTGAAAATAATAATCATATGAATAACACAACTTTAGATATTTTTGCCCGGTTAACATCACAAATACCTTTCATTTTTATCCTTCATATCAAGCACATTATAATTGTTTATATCTGAAGTTAAGAAACTTGCTGAAAACCAAATTAACTTCTTTCAACTATCTAAATATTTTCCATGTGCAATGTTTAAAGTGAATTTATATATTTATCAGAAACTGATTAAAACTTTAAAACCATCAATTAATCTGTCCAAAGAAAAATATTTCATTTTTTTCACTTCTGTTAATGAGAAGGTGATACGTCCTTGAAACAAAAGTAGTAGAGGAATAGGAATAAATAAGATTGATCTACAAAACAATTCTGTGCAGTGCCAAGAAATCACTTCACATACTCATTACTTTTAGGTCTACTTAAGAAAATAGAGCTGTAATTCAGAATTCTATGGTTGGGGGGAAAATTCAGACTATTTTGGCAGAGTACTCTTAAGATGCAGGTGCATAATATATTCAAAGTTATTAGTGTTTCTGGAAAAGATACACTCCTTCATTTTACTGAATACATAAGAAAATAACACAACACAATGAAAGATGTTGATTGTACCAATTATTCAATAACACAGCCTAATTTTTAGACACTGGGAGTGGGTGCTATAGAAAAATACATACAGATAATTATTCAAGTTCCTTATTTCCTTCCTTTTGGTCATAATGCTGATCTTTAATGTTTCTGCCAAATGGTGAATGGGAATCAAAAAATTAAAATAGGACATGTCTACTGCTCAGTAGCTTCTATAAACAATATGATATCAGAGGTTATTAAAGCTAGGATAATTTATGTTTGAAAATTATATGGCACTTTAGTACTTCTGAGAAGAGGCTGAAACTTCCAAAATCAAGAAGGTCAGAAAGAAGAATCCTTCTTCTATTTTAGGTACTCTTGGGCTTTAGATTTTCTGTGAGTAAGAGTAAATAGGTAAGATTAGATCAATAGAACATTCCAGAGTAAGAAATCACTTCTTGCTTTCTCTTCTGAAACTTCAAAATTTTGCAAATGATTTCATTGCTGAATTTCTTTGTGGTTATTTGAAATGACCAAGTCCTTCTCTCTCTCTTACATTAAACAGCCAAACACAGCTATATTGAATAGAATGAAAAAAGAATAATCTACCACAAATTTTCAGTGAAATGCATATCTTTTTACTGCTAGCAGTGTTTATTACCATAGGGTCAAGGGAGATAAACTTAAACTAGCATTAGTCTCTACTACAGCATGTGGAAGTCTAAGACACTTTAAAACAACTTCAAAAAAACAGGAAACAAGCAACTCTTTAATCCATTCTTTCCTATAATTTATGTATATGAAATTGTTCTGTTTCAAAAGGACAGTCTGAATAGGTTTGCTAGGAGCTTTACTGTGCAGAACTGTAGGAAGACCAGCAGTAAAGATCACAGAAACTGTACAAGTTAAAAGAAATCTCTTCCCATTTTTTAGGAAAACAGGAAGTTTATGAATAGACTGACTACCTTAGGTACAGAGATGCCAGATCCAATATATGCTGATCTCATTGTTGGTGTGTGAACTGAACGTGGAGGGTGGTCTGTAACCTGAATCCAAGAGAAAAAAGGGATATAAATGTCTTGAGATAGTGAATCCATTTCAAACATCACTAGATTAAACCAAAGTAAACAAAGCTAAAAAAACCTCAGGCAAGGCAAACCTTACACTAATGAACATAATGAAAACTGAGTAAACTCCAATTAATAAAATATATTTACACATTTAGGTTTGTGTATATACCTCCAAATTTCATAAATAAATTTGTTCATTTAGCAAAACTTGCTTAAATCTGGAAATACAAAAAAATTACTTGCAAAAGAAAAGACATAAAAATAAAACTGAAAAGACATTGAATGTAGTCTACATGAAGTGGAAGACAGTAATTTTTAGTTCTGGTTTGCACTTGACATTTTAATAATGACTTGATGCTTTAAAAAAAAGGCTCTTTAAGAGATATACAGCTATAGCAATAACTGACATTTCAATAATCAACTTCTAAATCAAGAATTTTTAACCTTGCATTAGTGAACTTAAAAAAATATTTTGTTAACTATTTCAATATAATTCCTTTGTAATCCTATGCATTTAAAAAATTTAAAAACATGATTCTGCGAAGGGATCCACAGCCTTCACTAGACCAAAGGAGTCCAGGGCACAAAAAAAGTTAAACTTTCCTGTTCTAAGTTGAGGCAAATAACTATTTGACTTACACATGAATAATGACTTCACAGGTTTGGCAACTTGTGTAAAGATAAATATAACCTAAAAACTTACTGGAATGATAAAAGAATTAGTTGACATTTGATACAGGAATTAATATATTGATGGGAAAGTTTGTCACAAGCAGAGGAGTTAAATCAATACATGATCAGGGCTTTGAAGTTATATAAGTTATCACGCACATTTCTTCATTATTTAATTATACAAAATGCAAGACCTTTTTATTAATTGTGGGGTGGGTAATCTCCTTGAACAGAAGGAGCTAATGATTTTCTTGCTTGCTACTTGGGTGGACAGGATATTTGAAACAGAGGCTGCTTATTAAGTGGCGGATATAGAAGTCAAGAGATATGAGGAAGGGCCTCTGGCTTGGATAGCAAGGTGAGATGGAAGCTGACAGAAGGAAATGGGTAATGATTATAAGAGGTCCAGGCTAGTTAGAGAAAATATTGAATTCTTAAGGAAAAATATCACATCTTTTTGCCTTTGTTATTGTACACTCCAGTAGACGAAAAAGTTGGTGTGTCTGCAGGATGAAAAATGGACTTGTGGATCTGTCACAATCTGACACCTTCTATTCTGGAGTTAGCCTCAATTTAGTTTCAATTGGTTTTAATTAGAAACTATCTGGGGAAATATTTTGAACCTAGATCAGAATTTACCATATAAAAAGCTGAATGTGGGACACTACATTAATTATAGAAATACGTAAAATACTAGTGAAAAAATGTGCTAACATTATAAGTCAAATAACAGAAACCCTGGATTGTGTATTGTTTTACAAAGCTTTCACAAAACCTTATTAAGGTTATATATCAGGGCTAAGGCATGGCTACAATACATATATTATACAGTTTCCCAAATTTATTCTTTTCCTACTAGAACTCTAAATCCAACCCTGGAACCACAGAATAAAATCCCACTTGAATTAACAAGAGAAGACAGGAGAGGATTAAGATAAGAAAGAGATATGTGCATCTTTCAGTTTCAGTAACCTAGACAAAGGTGTAACCTATACTTTTTTTTAAACTTATTAAAGAATTGATTTTAGTAAAGAGAGTCAACTGGCTGGTTCAATAAAACCCTCTAGTCACATCAGGAACTACTGCAGCTGTTTTCTGCATTACTGGAACAAGGACAAGAAACAGATTCATGCTGGTTGACTATTCTAGTCAGAAATGAGTACTTTATAGCTAAGAGTGACTTGGTAACTGCATTTGAAAGACTTTTAATTATATGCACGACTGAGTTTGAGCTGAAATTTCAAAAGTTAAAACAAAAGTGTGAAAATTTCACTTGACAATCATACTATACAGCACTGGTATCTGATTAATGTTCCTACCAATTTCTTCAAATTTTTCATCCTCTCACAAGTAATATTGCTAGACTGTGGTTAGTTAAAATATACCTGATTTGGGAGGATTTGTCTTGAGGGGCAATTACCTTATGTGATTTTTCTTACCTATCTGTACTACTGATAATTATATTAGACTACAAAGTCTAAATGTCTTTTCTGTGTTATATAGCATAGGTAAAATAAAGAGATAAATTTCACTTTTTTGTAATGGGATTGATTTACTGTTTCTGGTCACAAGTTAAAGGTCAGGGAGCAGAACAGCCCCAGAGAGGTACCTCAATTGGTTCAATGTCACTAGCTGTGGAAGGAGACCTGGACCTTGACTGGAGGTGAGACTTGACCTCCTCATCCCGTGAAGTAGGGTTAGACAACGTAAAGTTCTCAACTGAATCAATCTAGGAAAACAAGTCGGGGGAAAAAAAAAACCCAAGAAGTCACTTTTAACAATTCACTGCTCTTAGCAATATTAAGTCATGATCATGATAGTGTTTCTTAAGAAATGACAACAAAACTGTGAGTTTAGTATTTGTTAGGGATGTTTCAGAAAATATAACCATAACTGTAAGCTTGTATTAAATAAGCATGTGAAGTACACCAGTTGAGCAGGTGACCCTTTTGCAACTGGTACCACTGATTTCTTAGTTTCAGCATTACTACTGCATTGTTCATATGGATATCCCACATAGAATTTTTGCTGACAACTAAAGGAATTCAGCTCATGAACAAATGCAGAATACGTAATAGAGAAATGCACTGAAAATTGGATATTACACTACATCTTAAACATAGAAACCCAACCAATATCTCTAGCGGCTCCTAATTCAAACCATGTTCATTCTGTAGCAGCAGAACTGTTGGCACTGGCAGCAAAAGATGCATTACTTAAGAACTTTAGCAAACGACAAGAATGCTTTGAGTTGAAGTTCAGTGTATAAAACCCTCCAAGGGATAAATTTATATTATGATTTTTATGGTTTAATTATTGTTTCAATTTATCAGGAATAAATTCAAAAAATTAAAATTACATGTTTACATAATAAAGATTAATTTTAGGGTAGTCTCTTATGATGATAAAAGAACCTAAAAGAATGAAAATTGATTGATCCAGGGTTGAGTGATAAATACAATAAATGTGATTACTGAAATCTAAAGCAAAATGCTACACCTGAGATCTGTAAACCTGTTCAATTCATGTCTCTGCCTTTAACTAAAAGCAACTTAAAAGCAAGCTTCAACTTATGTGTAGTTTCTTTTCTTGAATACTGGAATGTATTTTTCTTTAGATGATTTTTGTGATGTATTTTAACATCACTATGTCCAAAGCATAACATGTAGGTAATGCCCGATTATCTACAGAGACACACAGTAGTGTGAATAACAAAGATATACTATGAAATTGATTTTTGGTACTTTCAGTATGGTGTTGCTGACATCCCAGAAAGTCACATTAATTCAAAATAACTGGGCCAAATTATGAGGACCTTTGAGGACCTCTACTAAAGTCCTACCCTGATATCTCAGCCTGGTGTGGTGATCTTGTGTTTTCAAAGGCACTGTAATCAAAACATAAACTCTATCAAGTCCCATACTAAATTGAAAAGATGTTGGGTATATGCCTAGTCACAATACATAAGTCTATCATCAAAGGACTGGTCTAGCAATTTTTTTCTTTGGCTAGGCAATGGGCTTAAGTGACTTGCCCAAGGTCACACAGCTAGTAAGTGCTATGTGTCTGAAGCTGGATTTGAACTCAGGTCCTCCTGACCAGGGCCGGTGCTATATCCACTGCGCCACCTAACTGTCCCATAGTCTAGCAAATTTCAAAGAGGCTCACTACCAGATTAGTCTCAGAGTGCTGACTTTTTCGGTCAAGACAATTCTCAAAGAGCTTCTAATAAGTCATTTAAGAGCTGCAATTTGTGTCAGAGAAGGGAATACCAACACAGATGAAATCCCCAGTTGTTCAAGTACTGAGGTATGAAGATATCTTTAAGAAGCTACAATGTCTTCCTATTCCTTACTGGATCAATTCTTTAATCCAGGGCTCCAACTCCTCCACAAATTATCTTCCCCCTGCTTCCTGGTCCTTCTTCAGACTTTTCTCTTTCCTCTACTAATACTCTTTTATACTATATAGGCTGGTCTCCTTACTGCTATTTTACCTCTTTTACGCTAAAGTATGTGTATCACTTCCTTAAGACACTATCTGATCTTTTCTAATAGTACATCCTTAATAACAATTTGCACTAACTTCCCTTGCCTTTTGTTGGCTATGCTGTTTTTTAAAAAAAATTTCCTTATATTTTCCAGTTATTACTTGTATATTTGTCTTGTCTTCCCAATTACAATGCAACATCTTAAAGACAAAAGCCATATCTTTTTTCAATATTCCTCACATGATCTAGTACAATGCAATTCAGACAGCAATTGCTTAACCAAAGCCTGTTTAATAAATTAATAATTTGGAAGCCACTAAACTTCCTGATTCTATAAACTATTCAATCTTCTCATTCCCTAATTACATGCCTTGTGATGTCAATTTAATACAACAAATACATATTAAGCTGCCACAGCTATACTCTTGCAAACTGGACCTCAAAAGACCTAGTCTGGAAGTAGCTAAGTAGCTTAGCTCTAAACCTTCTTGGGATCATACTTCTTCAACCAAATAATTTTTCCATTCTACTGTTGATGCTGCCCTTGCTCCACCTTCCAAATGGACTTCTACAGCCCATGATGGAGAGAAGCTAAGCCATGCAGTTTATGGCCCAATTCCCTTGGACCATGCATGTATGTTCATTTGCATTCTAGCTGTTTTTCTCCCTCTTGCCTATGTACTGATACCTCAATCTTTTTATTTCTTAATCTGAAAATGGTAGTCAAATCAACACTGTACTATTGTACCACTCCAATGAATTCCCAAATTAAAATAACCTTTCCTGGCCACCATCTTGTAAGGTATTATCTACTCCTATTAGAATGTAAAATCCCTGAAGGCTGGGATTGCCACCCTTTCCTATTTTTATTCCCAAGAACTTAATAAATGCTTCTTAATTCATTAATTCAATGCGTTTCAGAAGAATAAAAAACTGGAATTCAAGCTTAAACCTAACAGCTTCTTTCTGGATCATACATTTGTTGCAGGTAGGCAATAAAAAGAAACTTTATAATTACTAAAGGGATTTTCTCGGTGGAAAACATGGATTGGAAGTAGAACAATGAGCCAAATCTAATAAAATGAAATTTTATAGGAATCAATTTTATAGCAATGTCTTATACCTGCATTCAAAAATAACTTCCCAAGTACAAGATGTGGTTAGACAGTTGTTTACTTTAGGAAAAGCTTAAGAGGTACTAAGTGGTCAATGTGTCTACTGTGCAATATGGCAGACAAGAAATGTTATGCAATCTTATGCTATGTTAAGCAAGGCCTAATATCTAGGACTTGGGAGGTGATAGTTCTGATAGTCTTTATCATGGTCAGATGACATCCAGAGTACTGTGTGTGGCTCTGGACACCACATTTGAAGAAGGATATTGATGAGCTACTGCGTATACAGAATAAGGAGATGAAGATGGTGAAGGACATCAAATTCACATTATATGAGAACCAACTAAAAGAAATTAGGGTGTTCAGTCTTCAAAAAAGAAGTCATGTGTGCGGGGGGGAAATGTGGTAATTATTTACAAGCTTTTGAAGGACTATAATGTAAGAAGAGGGATTAGACTTCTGCTTGCTCCCAGAAGAAAAGAACTAAGAGTAATGGAGGAAGGTACAGAGGTAAATTTAGTTCAATTTTAAAAAAATCAGTTTCTTAATAACTAGACTAGAGCTATCCAAAAGTGGAATGCGATGCCTTACAAGACTATGGGTTCCTCTTCCTTGTAGTTTTCAAACAAAGGAAGAATAACTACTTGTTGGGGATGTTGTTTAAAGCCAGGCATAGCTTAAGGCCAGGAGGCTTTCGAGGCACTTTCAAATAGAGATTCTGAGAGGGAGGAATAATCTTATAATTATTAAACTGAAAATGGAGAGGAATGAAGAAATGCACCTTTACACAATACCAAGGCAACTAAGAGGTAAGACATAGGAAGAATCAGTGGGAAAGCCAAGGAATTCACAGAAGCCAATATTCAAAGAGGAGAAGTAATAACACTCAAGGCCTCAGACAGTGTTCTACAAATACAAAGAAGAAGGTTAAGACCAAAGTAAACCAGAGACCTTGATACAAGAAAGTAAACTAAGCCTCATAGGTATCACTTGTAGGGACTTGTAGGGAATAGGACTTGTGAACAGAACATAGCAATATCTTAGAATATTTTTCAAATATTAGAACATTTTAATATTTTATATCAATTAATATAATATTTTTCAAAATGTTATAAAAGGATACATTAGGATGGTATCACATACCAGAGTAAGATATATTCAGTAACATTCTGATGGGATTTTACAACAAATTACCTGATTAAAAGATGAAAGAGATTATGAGTTGGGGAAATATCATAAACCCAGCATGAAGATATCAATGATATGGAACTTCCTTGATATTCTTCTTCCTACAAGGAACTACTATTTTTCTGTAGTATACCAGTTAGTGAATGGGCCTACTTGCTGTCTTACTTTGCTAAAAACAAAGGAACCTACCTCATAAGCATTATGACTTTTCTTCCTATTTTAATACTATCCTATGAATTACTCATTATCATCTCATTCCAGGACTATGGCAATAGGCTTCTGGTTAAACCCCTTGCCTCCAGTAGATTCCTCAATTCCACTCCATTTTCCATTCAGCTGTCAAATTAGTCTTTACAAATTACAGGTCTTACCACATTACCTCCTTATTCAATCAACTCCACAGGCTTACTATTACTTCCAGGATCAAATGTAAAATCACTTTTAAGGCCTTTTACTCTGCTAATACCTTATACCCCCATGTACTCTACAATCCAGTGACATTGGCTTCCTTACTTTTCCTCCCACAAAACATTCTGTCTCCAGACTCTGGGTATTTTGAATAGCTAGTCATATTGTTCCTATTCATCTCTGTCTCCTGGCTTCCCTCAAGTCTCAGCTAAAGTTCTACTTTCTGCAAGAAGTCTTTTCCGGTTCTCCTTGTAATCTTCCTCTGAGAACAAACCCAATTTCAACTGTACATGTCTTATTGGTACAAAGTTGTCAGCACGACATCTCCTCAATTACACTGTGAAGTCCCTGAAAAAAGAGGATTTTTTTGGGGGGGAAGGGAGGCATTATTTTTGTATCCTCAGTCCTTAGCACAGTGCCTCTGGTATGTAATTAATAAATGCTTCTTGACTTGACATGAAAGAACGCCAAAGATGGATATGGGAAACTTTTAAGCACGAGATCCTGAAAAGACAAGCATAAATGAAT